TTGTCAAAAGTAATTATCTGAGTTCCCTTGAAGGGCCTTGCTGGTATGTCTCTGGATTCTAGCAAAGGGTTTTAGATAATTGGCCCTATTGCCCTGCCAAGAAGTGACAAAAGTCCTTTTTAATTGCAATCTGGTTATTGGGAGCGGGAGTGGCTAGGCTTTTTTACTTCTTCATCTCTTAATTTGGCCTCGGTGTATGTTATCATTTCTGCCCTTATCTGTGATTGCATTAATCACTAAATCACTCTCTCCGTGGATGAATGGGCAGGTGATAGCTGCTCTTTAATGAACTGCCTGGGCTAGGAAACTTAGTTGTGGGGAAATATGTAGGAGTAAGCAGTAAGTGTTAAGTAGATGCCAGTTTGACTTATCAGTGAGATTTTTGCCTAGCTTACAAGTACATTACTTATTGTTTGCTTGGCCATTAATTCAGAATTGTGTGTGGGTGTGTAAGGCTTCTGAAAACGCCATTATTCGGGTTCCTTGGAGTAGCAATCAAGGGCTATTATAGAGTTTCAGTGTATACATTTTAAACAACCGCACAATGAGTTGATTTATAAATATTTAAAAATAACGATTCATGAATTAGCCATGCCTGCAGAGCATTATTTAATAGATATCATTATTCTGATGGAATTCAGACCAGGCATTTGTATTCCAGCAGTCTGTGCAAGAATTCTCAGAAGAACTGGGCTTCATTTGACTGAACGGTAACAGAGATATCGATATGTCTTGCAGTAGATTTCATACTCTCAGGGTTTTTGGTTGTTGAAAGTTGTTTTTTTATTTCTTTTTGTTCTCTCTTGCAAAGTTTATTAATGGGCAAAGACACATTAGAAGTCATCAACACAAAAGATTTAATGATAGACCAGATGTCTCTATTTTAACCAGACATATTGAACTAGTAGTTATGGTAATTTTTCAATTTGGTTCAAGTTATTTTTCCCCTGGTAGTTGTACAAATGTTTCTGTGTCCAAAATGTGACAGTTGAAATAAAATACTGAATAAAATAGCAAGTAATTGTACTGGAAATATCATTTTCAGAAACTTGTGATTTGTAAAAGTGAATTATGATAATTCTTAACTCATTTAAGTGAATAAAAGAGAAATGGATCTATTTGGGCAATAGCCACATTTTTCCCCTCTCTGTGATTGCACGAGTGCATGTGGACTTCAGCTCTCCTCCATGCTTGCATGATGAAGTACCTTTACTTTTATACTTAATAGTATTACTTTACATTCAAGGAAAAATCCTTTTAATCATTTGAGAGGTAGACACTGTCATTCCATATTTCAGTGTGCTCCTGCTGATTTGACTCTTGTTTGGGACTTTGTGCTCCTTCTCCACCAATTGTTAAACCAGGCATCTGATTTGGAAAGTAAAGATTAAGAATGGGATGAAGACCATGCCACTGGGTGTGTGGTTGGTTCTTTGCGGTGAGTGAAACTAAAGATGGAATACCTCAATTAACTAAGGATAATCTTCCAGCTAGTGCTGTGTGTGTGTGTGTGTGTGTGTGTGTGTGTATTCTTTAGAAGAGACAAGGCCAGAGAAAATGCAAAATAAGGTATTTTAAGCATGTCCCAAAGCTTGTGTTTCAAATGCAGTTTTGCTTCCATTTGAAGAGAAACAAAAACATGTGCAAGAAGAATTCTTTCTGCAGTGAGGAAGAATTTCTAGTTGAGAACAGAATTTTTGTGAGAAAAGTGTACAGTGCTCCAGCTCTGTAACTCTTGAGTGGCAGCTCCAGGGATTCTGTTTTAGATAGAGATGCAGTGACCAGCTGTAGGATTTCCTCTGGGTGTGTCATGCTTGTGTGTGGTGGTCTTGCTTAGCTTTGGAGGGGAGGAATGAGGTTGTAGCTTGCCTTCTATTTTCAGGAATGCAGTAGTTATAAACAGGCTGCCATCTTGAGACAGTAATGCCACCCCCACCCCTTTCCCCACTCTTGTTTCTCTTTCTTTGCCTTCCCTGCATCAGTTGCAGAATTTCAGCCTTTATCCTCCTCCCCTCCCCTCCCCTCCCCTCCCCCATGGCCTTCTGCAGTTGTAGTTGTTACTTTGCGCATTGCCTTTTAACATGGAGTCTGCTCCCAAGCCGGATGCGTTTTCATCTGTTTCATCTGCTCTTTCTGAGGTTGTGGAGTCTCAGAGGATCCCACAATCAAATGGAAGTATTTTCTGTCTTAATATTTGCAGACCACAATAAGAATAAAAATCAAAACCATAACTCATGTCTAGCTGGGGCTTTGACTTTAATCCTTTTGGCTTTTATTTCAACTCTTCACTCTGTTACTATAAATACAGTTTCTGCCATTGTGAAAAGATCTTCTTGCTATTTTGTAAGAAATGGGGATTTGATGGGACTTTGCTTCACTGCTCTGAGGGGTTTCTTTGTTACTGGCTTAACACAGAACATACTGTTATTTATATATTTATTCTAGCTTAATTCTTTCTTTATTGACATGCAAAAATGTTGGTGCTTTGAGGGCTGCTTTTTGATAGTTTCTGCAGTTTTCTTCCGAGGGGGATGCTGCTTTTAAGATAATGGTTCAATTTATTCATTTGTTCCAAGCTTCCTTCTATGAGTTTGATTCCTTACCATCTTTAGCTTTGCGGTGGCATGTGAAAATAAGTCTGAACTTTAGAGTAGCTCTGTGTTTGGCAGCATGACTGAGTAATTTGCTTATAGTTTAGAAGCCTTCATTCAGATACTGATCAGTTTAGTTTGTTTCCTCTATTTATTATTTATTTTTGGTAGTTCAAGGTGACCTTTGGTGATATAATTTTTTAAATGTTAAACTTGCCTCCTTGGAAGAAAACAAGCACATGTTCTTTTATTTCATAGTAGGATTACTGAAGGTTTTAAGTAAATTGAAATGTGATAAATCATATAGTATTAAAATCCGCATAGAAAGTGGTAGCAATCAAGGAAATCTTTGAGGAAAGGTTACATGGTGAAGATTCCGTTGGCCAACACATGACAGTCTACATAAACTATTAATGCTCTCTTAAAACAGAGCTGTTAAGACAGAAAACTATATAATTGTTAAGTTATTGGTTATTTGGTCTTTGTCTCAGTATTATGGAAATAAAATATAATTTCTTTGAGATATGATATAGAGTTGAAACTTCTCTGTGCATTTTTCTCATTGTGCACTTGGGTGCTTAAATTTGGGGTGTCATTAGGCCTCCTTTACAGAAAAGGTAGCTTTGGCTTATGATTTGGGGGTCATGCTATGATGTACGATGTACACTGTATATGAATATGATTACGCATGTGCTCAGTGACTGTGGGTCCCAGCTCATCTATTTCTGCAAATGGAGTTTTTTTTCAGTGGCAACCTCTCTTGGTTTGCTTCAGCTGTCCTCTGAGACTCCACTTAGCGCCATCCATGCTCACCTGTCATCATCTCCTCAAATATGGAACTTAAACTTCACGTTAGAATTTGAAAGCTAGAAAAGAGGGTTTGTTTTTTGCCCTCCATGCTTATTTAGAAATAAACCAGCTTCACATTTATAAGAGCCAAGTGGACTTATGATTATGAGTTATGGAAACTTAGGCCCAGTGTTTAGGTAGTTACTTTTCTTCCCTTTTTGGCAAGAAAGCGGGTTGTAAGAACTGATTATGTTTTAGGCTTGTCGCTGTTTTGACAAATATTTCGGGGACAGATGATTCACTGGGAGTCGGAAATGGTCTTTATTCTTGGTATATCTTTAGATTTGGAATGCTTGGACCTGACCTGAGAGGCATTGTTCCCCGGAAACACCTAGTTATACACAGCATGCAATAATCCAGTAGTTGTAAAACTTTTCCAAAATGCGTTAAAAATACAAAATATACCTGGGAAGGTGTATGTTGTGGGTTACCGTTTAGATGGCTCAAATGTGGGAAGAGAGGGTTTGAGGCGTGTAAATATCAGAGGGCCAATAGAAGATGACTAACAGGATGTGTGTGGCACATGGCACGGTGAGGCAGGTGCTGGTCTACAGGTCCGCAGACGAGAGAAGCAGCTTGGTGCCTGAGGAGCTTGCATGCGTTGAAACTGGGTTTGGCTGTGAAGTAGCACGTGTAAGCAGGTGGAGGGAGAAGGGCATCCCAAGAAGAGAAGCGAAAGCGTGTGCAGTGGGCAGAGGAGTCTAGAAATCTCCGTCTAGTCGGATAATTGCTGGGAGCTGGACCTGCAATCCAACAGAAAAGGGTGGGCAAATAGTAGAGAGACTTGGAATTCTTTGAAGGTCAGGTAGTGCCTTGTAGTGTGGGACAGCGAGTCCAGGTGAGGCGGAAGGTTGTCTTCCTCTCAGTCCCACAGGGAAATACAAGACAAAGTAACTGTTCCTCACAACGTATGGGTGCCCCACAGGTGACTCTGGATTTGCCCACTAATTGGCCTTAAAGTGTCTGAAAAACAAAAAATGGTACAGCTTTATTCATTTATGTTTCCTTTATCAAATGAAGCAAAGTGAACTGGGTGAGCAATGCCCACGTGTCCTGTGCACAGTTACACAGAGCACTGCAGTGCACCTGCCTGCTAAGACTTGCTCTTGAGATGAGGAAGGTAGCTGGAGTTATGTCAGCCAGTGTCCAAGGACATGTCCAGTGTCACTCATGGATCCTTAAGGGACATGGATAAGCAGCATCATTTTAGAAAATTTTAATTCTATCCTGCTCTGCTCTGGTTTTGTTCCTTGATCCCATGACCATTTTAACTGATCAGGAAGTAATGTATTTGCAGGCGTGGTGAGGGTTCAGTCCTGCTAGGAGGGCACCTTCTTTGCATTTAAGGGTCCCTCCTTTTCTCTATCCCCTGTCCTTCTCCTACTTTCCCTCTCATTTTGCTTGCCTTCCTTCTGAGTATTCTCTCACTACATCAGCATCCTGCTCAGAGTTGTTGATGTTGAGGAATGGACACTTTCCACTTTCCCCCTAAGCTGAGAGTCCAGCTCTTGACTCCTCCCTGGCCTTGTGTCTGCAGAACCGCTTTGAGCTGCTTGCCTGCACCAAGTGCCTGGATTGCTCTCCTTTTGTCCCTGCACAGTCGGTGGCAGCTGAAGTCTAGCGGGGATTGAAACTTTCTCTGAAGAGTCCTTAGGGAACAAATAGAAACATTATATGATTAGACACATTGTTTTCATTATTAAACAAATCTACACAGAAGGGTGGCAATTAACAGCTTTATCTCCTGAACCTAGACACCTTCCTCCCCCCTTCCATCAGCATTTCCACTTGAAGTGGTAACAATTAACTGTTGCTGGGTTTAATGTCTGCAGCTGACAATGCCAAATTGGGAGAAGGCTCTTCTCTAGGTTGATTGACGTATAGCCCTCTGACACATTCTTATGTATGTTTAAGGCAGATTCATGCCCTGGGACCTGAGCCAAAGGGCTTGTCAGAACATTGACTTTAATAGCTGAAATATATAACTTAGATGACATCCGAGATCTTAGCTTCAGCAGAACTTGGGGAACTTGAAGAATTCTCCAAGGCACTGCAATTTAGACTTTGTGGACAAGATTAAAAATTATAAAAATTTGTCTAAGCATATGCACATATGCATTTAATTTATGATGCAATTATTTATCATAGATTTATTTTGCCAAATAAACAGGTATGAGTTGGGAAAAATAGAAGACAGAAAAAAGGAGAAAAATAGTTAAAGCTATTTTTTAAAAGTTATTCTGTAGCTGATACTTTGGGGTGAGTTTTATTCTTCCTAAGCAACTGTTATGCAAGTTTATTTTTGAGTAAATCACAAAGCTAAGAATGAGTTCCAGTTTTCTGTGACTTAGAAGGAGAAATGGCATAGACTGTTCACCTTAGTCACAAAAGAGGGGGTGTGTCTAAGATTTCATAAATTAAAATACAGAGCCTCTGTTAATCACCGTAGTCACAAAAGAGGGGGTGTGTCTAAGATTTCATAAATTAAAATACAGAGCCTCTGTTAATCACCGTAGTCACAAAAGAGGGGGTGTGTCTAAGATTTCGTAAATTAAAATACAGAGCCTCTGTTAATCTTTTCAGGGTGCTAGAGCTTGGGCCTTTGGCCTTATTTGTCTGTTTTGTCATGGGGTCTTGATGTAGTAAATACATTGCTCATTTTTTTATGATTCTAATGTTTAAATAAATGCTATGCATGTGGTCTTTGCGCATATATGGAAAACATAGACGTAAATTATTCTCTGGGTGTCAGGATTCTATGAGCTACCAAACTCCCTTCACACTTGTTCTGAAGAGAAACTTAGCCTAGAAAACTCTAAGCCAAACTCTACCGTGTAAGGAAAACAATGCATGTTGTAATACCTTCAAGCTTTTGTAAGCAGAGATTGTCACAAGGTGTCTCTTCTATACTGTCCATGTCTCCTCTTTCTCTTTTAACTACTTCCAGATCGTCAATTAATTTGCTTAATGAAACATTGTTGCTGATGTCCTGGTTATTTCCCCAGCACTCTTCTTGGTTTCCTCCCCTTCGTCTGGGCATTGCTCCTGTAATGATGACATCTTTTGGGTTTGACTGCCCCCCCTGCCCTGTTTTACTCTTATTGCTCAGCATCTCTGAAGTTTCTCACACACCTCATTGGCAGTTCACTTGGTGGAAATGTCAGCCCTCATCTTTGCACTGAGTTTTGGATTTATATGAATGATTCCTACTATTTGTCCCTGGGTACCGCGGACATTCCAAATGAAACTTGTCAAATACATTGAAACGTCATCTGTTGGGTACTTCCTGCAAATGTGTCATGCACACAAGGAGAATGTGACAACATGACTGTCTTAAAGGGACTTATGTATGTGTATCTAAGCCTTGGATCCCCTTTCATTCATTACAATTTATTGAGTTCTGACATTCCAGATAGTTTTTGGTCTTTAATCTCTTCCAAATCTCCCTGAAGCTGCCTAGGAGTCTTTCAGGAACAGATCTGCTGTTATTGAGTCCTCTGCCTAAACACTTTTGTGATTGCTTTTAAGCTAAAGCCCAGCCCTCCATACAGAGCCCCTTTTTATATAGCAGGGCTGTTGTAAAAGTGATGCATTCTTGTTTTCCTAGACAATATGCAGAAATTAGCATGCTCTGCCTGCTAGATTCCATGTAGACCCTCTGATAGTTTAGCATTTTTTTGCATTGTTTGGTTAATACTATTTTTAACAATATAAATTAGTTTTATTTTACAATAGTTAAGTTTATTTTTCAACTTTTGTGATCAACATCATTTCTTGTGCCTCATTCTAAGGCCTTTAACATACTCTTTTAATTTACTCTTTTTATAAAAATATTAATCTGTAGCCTTCTGGGTCTAAACACACAGTCTTTGTCTATAATAAACTCTCACTGAAATATTTATTAAATATAATTTTGCTGTTTTAAGATTTATTTATTGTCTGTGTATATGTAAGTGTAAGTTTCTCCTTAAGCATGTGTGTACATGTGTATAGGGGCTGGAGATCAATATAGGATATCTCTCTATTGCTCTCTACATTATTTTAAATTATGTCTTTTACTCTGGAGATCATGATTTTGTCATTTCTCACTTCCCTTTCTTCCCACCAAACCTTCCAATATTGTCTCATGCTTTGCTTAATATATATGGCCTATTTTTCATATTTTTTATTAATTTTCTCTCTCTCTCTGTCTCTCTCTTCCTCTGTAAGTATAACTCTCTCTCTCTCTCTCTCTCTCTCTCTCTCTCTCTCTCTCTCTCTCTCTCTCTCTCTCTTTTTGTTGAAAAACAATCTATCACTGAGCCTGTTCCTTTCCAGTTTCATTAGACAAGCTGAGAAGTGAGTCCCAGGGATCCTTCTGTAGTACAAGTTCTTTTTTAAGGTTTAGCTAGCATAGTATCTATATTTTTTATTTAAATTAGAAACAAGCTTGCTTCACATGTGAATACCAGCTCCCTCTCCCTCCCCTCCTCCCTCATCCCCCATCAATCCCTCCAATCCCCCACCCCATTCTCCCTCCCCAGGGCAGGGTCTAGGCCCTCCCCCATGTGTCCAGGCTGGGTGAGCATCTTTCCATGTGGAATGGACTCCCCAAGTCCATTTGCACACCAGGGATAAATACTGATCTACTACCTGAGGCCCCATAGATTGTCCTCACTGATACCCATGTTCAGGGGTTCTGGATCAGTCCCATACTGGCCTCTCAGCCATTAGTCTGGGGTCCATGAGCTCCCCCTTGTTCAGGTCAGCTGTCTCTGTAGGTTTCACCAACCCAATCTTCATCCCTTTTCTCATCACTCCTGCCTCTTTGCAGCTGGGTTCCAGGAATTCATTTCAGTGTTTAGCTGTGGGAGTCTGCCTCTGCTTCCATCAGGCACTGGATGAAGGCTCTACGATGACATATAAGGTAGTCATCAATCTCATTATTGGGGAAGGGCATTTAAAGTAGCCTCTCCACTATTGCTTAGATTGCCAGTTGGTGTCATCCTTGTAGATCTCTGGAAATTTCACTAATGCCAGATCTCTCCTAAAACCTATTATGGTATCTCTCATCCTGCTCTCCTCTGTTCTTCCCCAGACTCAACCTTACTGCTTCCCCATGTCCTCTGAGTTCTAATTGGTCTTAATAATAAAAACCCAGAGTCAGATATTAGGGGGTGAAAGCTGAAAGATCAGAAAGCAGAGCAGCCAGCCACTAGAGTTCTTACCTCTACGAAATCCTCAGACTGAAAAGAGAGCAAGCTCCTGTCTTTTCCTTTCTTATATTCCTCTCTCTGCCCAGGCATGTTACTTCCTGTTTGTACAGACCTCCAGACCTCTATGGTTAACTAGTGGCTAGCTCCCCCCTCTGATCTTCAGGCAAGCTTTATTTGTTAGAGTACAAACAAGATATCACCACATCCTGCCACCCTCACCTTCCCAGAACTGGGAGTAAGGTGTGTGCTGCTTTTATAAGAGTACTGGTGCTTTAGCTCATGTCTTCATGCTTGTGAGACAGACACCTAACTGAGTCATTTACCCAGCTCCTTCATATTGAGACACAGACCTGCATGACAATACAGCAATTAGAAAAGAATGAGTAAAGGGATGCCTTCTTTTTGGGTCACTCATACCCTTTTAAAAATCCTTTCATCAAAAATTGAGTTGAATATAACCATGATTTGGTTCAAAGGTGGCTAAATAGTTTCTTTGAAGCACTATTTTCCAAACATATGAATTGCAATTCAAAAAGACAGACATTTCTCCATAAAGCTCACACTGTCTCTCTCTTAAGTAGAAAAACTTAGCAGAAGAGATCCCATGTTGTACTCATCTGTGAATGATAGTTTAGCTGACTGTAAATGTCAATGAAGCACTAGAGAGTGTATGAGGAGCTCAGTGTAGTCTCAGAGGTCAGTCTAGAATTCCAAGTCTTGGCAGAGAGCAGGAGAGTCTGGAGATGCAATCCGAGGTTCAGCGGATTGCCCTTTCAGTCTGAACACTGATAGAGGTGAGAACTCTCTAGAGATTTGGCTGCTTTGTTTCTCTGACCTTCATCTTGAACCCCAATATCTATCTCTGTGTTTATATATTCAATACACACACACACTTACATTCCATTTAGTGTTGCACATGTCTATGTATACTTAGAGCTCACCACTTAGGATTAGAAAACCTGTCAGTGGGAACATCACAAGAGAAGACTGATTCTTCCTCTCCTAGCAGTCATTATTTCTAGCTCTTTATTTTGAGGTAGTGCATTGTAAAATTTCCCCCATTCATGTTGCTATGTCAAGTAGTGTTTCCTTGTTCCAGTCTTCTTTAGGATACCATATTGTGGAGATTTTCTGGATATGGGCTTCCCTATCCTCTATAGAAGACAAACTTTCACAGCATATATCTCAGTCCTCTGGTTCATATAATCTCTCTGCCCTCTCTTCCATAAGTGTAGGGATTGTGTTGTAAATGAATTATCTGTGGTTCTCTGTGTTTTGACCAATTGTAGATATTTATAATACTTTCCATCTCTTACAAAAAGAAACTTCTTGAATGCAGGGTAGGGAGCAGCTATACTTATGGAAATAAGAATATTTAAAATATTCTTATTTGGAATGCAGTTAAAATGCTGGTTTAGGAAAGTAACAGTAGTAGGTTCAACTCTAAGATTCATGACTGTACCAGTCACAGTCAGGTAAAAGGCTTATAGTACCAGGTATGAATTCCTTCCTGTTGAGAGGGCCTCAACTCCAATTAGACAGCTTTGGTTACCTCCAAGATACATGTGCTATTATTGCACCATCGGGAATGTCTTGTTAGATTGGTCATTTTGGTTCAAAATAATATTTCTTGCTTTCCTCTCTTGGCAGCTTGCATAGCTTTAGATAGGATAAGATTCTTCCTCAAGGAGGAGGTTTCCAAGTGAGTTCCATATTGATTCCCCTTAGTTCTATGTATGAAGTATAAGGTGTCTTCCATGATAAAAGTTCACCATGGAATTTACAAACATCCTTAGTGTCATTTATCCCTCCTTTATCCCTTCCATTTGCATTATTCTGCCTACCCAGTTAAAGGCTCCCATAGCCCCCATTTCCTTCTTTATATATTTTTAACTCTATATATTATTTTTAAAGGTTTATATACATATTATGGATGTGTGTGCGCATGCACACACATGCCTGGGTATATTTGTGTGCACTACAAGCATGCAGGTGCCCATAGAGTCTGGAAGATGATGTCTGAGAAGCTCGAACTGTAGTTACAGGTTGTTGTAATCCATCAGAGCTCCTATCTCATCTTAACCTCTTATTTAAAAGGAAAATCAGTTTGTGATATCTCCCTTGAGTCCATCTTAATGCCTGATATAAATAGATGGTATTATTTTGAGGGAGTGATGGAGAAAGTTGGGGCACAATTGAAGAAACAAGCATGAACCATGCATAACACTAGGGATAGATAGCATCAGGAAGTTGTTGTAATCAAAGACTTACAGGGTCAAGAAAAGTGGGGTGGTGACTGACATAAAGGGAAGCGATATTGCTAGAACAAGGCTATATGATGAAAGCCGGGACCTTGGGTAACAGAGCATAGCCTTCAACCTGCAAGGAGAAGCCATGTAGTGAGGCATCCTGACATCATTCTACAGAGCTATCCAGAAGTTAGTGGGCAAGGGAACTCTACTGAGAAGGTCCCCAAATAAAGCCTGCCGGGACTTAAAACTACATGGAGAAGGGTAACCTTCCAGTGAATTTGGAACTGTTAATGGAGGCTGCTCACATTTCAAGGCTTTTGGGTCTGTCTCCATATATATTCCTTGCTTCATTGCTGCACTCTCTGGTCACTGGCATTCCAACTTCCCAGGGTTGACGATCTATCAGATCTCAGAATTTGTCATGTTATCCACACTTTGCCTTGCTTTTGGACTTTCTGTTCCCTCTTTTGAAAACCTCTCTCTACACAGTTTTCTACTCTTTTTTATTTGGCAGAAACTTGGACAGGCTTCTTGGAGAAATTCTTTTATATTCTCAGTGCATTTTGTAGCGTTTACAATATAGTGTCATGTTTTTCTTTCTATTTTTTCATTTATAATCTTTCCCAAGTGATGTGCTACTGGCTGAATTGGGTTTGATCATATTTGAACTAAGTGACTAATCCAAATAAGGAATTTGTAAGGAGCTGATCAACTGAGTGCCTCTGTTTCCAATAGAGCAGAGGCTCCGTACACAGTTTGTCTTCCTAATGTGTTTCTATATGCCATGACTTAGTTATTAGTGTACAAACAGATCAGATCTTCCAAGAATAAGCTTGACATTGTATGGATTTTAAATGCCTGTGTCTACATTCAGGTAGTTCACTAGTGTTACTTCTTGTTTCAGAATTAGTGTAACTTGATAGTTTGATAGTTTTCATTCCAACATTAACATGCTAGGTGCAATGTGAATGAAATTGCTGCAGACCATGACCTTTAGGTAATTGGCTTTAAAACACAAAAGAAAATAAAGAGAATACTTTTTAGGTCTCAAATGAGATTATGTGTGTTATTTTAGTAAGGTATGGTTAAGATTTCCAAAGATGAATATAATTGTGTAGTATATTAGTTATGGAACAAACTAGGATTATTTTCAAAGTAAAAATAATTTTTGTACATGTAAGTAAATTACCAGCAACCATAGTGTTGTATCCTTCTTTGAGTCTACCATTAACATTGGAAGGAATTTTCTCACTTTCTCAGTTACTACACACTATTACTGTTACTAAAGTACAGAGCTGCTGTTTGGCCTTGAACCATCCTCTAGTGGACCATGTATTGGATGGAGGCTTATCCCCAATCTGTGGTACTACTGGCGGGTGATAGAGCTTTTAAGAGAGACTTCATGGGAGTCCTCAAACAGGACTGTGGGATTCTGGTCCCCTTTTCCTTTCCCTTTTTTGCTTTTGCTTTAATATTATCCTCTGCCATGCCCACTGTGACTTGCTACATTGTCACAGGCACAAAAGCTACTGGGATGAACCAGTGATGGATTGAATGAAACCTCTAAAATTATGAACCAAAATAACATTTTTCTTTTTAATGAGTTGATAACATTAGGCATTTGGTATAGTGATGAAAACGGAACTAACTCATGAACAATATACTTACTACCAATCAATATTGATATCTCACTAAAAGCAATTATTGTTGGGTGTTTAGAAGTGTGACACTAAAGTATGCAACTTTTATTATAATTTTGAATCCTGTATACAAACCCAGGACACACTGGAGAATCACTCATACTCCAAATGGAAAATAAAGACAACCAACACCAAACCAAACCAAAACCAAACCAAAACAAACAAACAAAAAAGCAAAAACCAAAAATCCCAAAGAATTAAGTCACTTAATTTTTTCTAAGTTGCAAATGAGATAAGTTTAACTGAGACTGGTTTAATTAAATGAGAAATATGAGAATATTTTAAGTGGTTAGAGGTTAGAGAATATATCCATGTATTTTCTCATCTCCTCAGTGTCTTAGAGATGACAAGATTGATCGGGGCCCTACACACCTACATCCTGTAAGCTGAGCTGTACTGAGTCAAACACATCTTCACTCTTTCCCCTGTTCCTTGCCTCTGGGACCATCCCTTAAAATGTCAATCTCAGGGAAGACTTCTTGTTGTCTTTGATTGGCTGAGAGGCCCATGGCCAAGACTAAGGTAGTATGATTGATTGGCTGAGGGAAGTACATTTTTTACATCAATGAAATGTAAAAGACAGGCATACTTGGGAAACACATTATGAGCGACATTGACTTTGTTACATGAATGGTGGATAAACTAATTCAGTTGTAAGTGGGATAGGAGTGAATTAGATGTAAAGTTAGTTTAATATTACATAGAGTTCCTGATGTTATTTTTGTGATCTTGATCTTAAACTAAACCATGTTATAATTGAGACAGGTTTTGCAAAGACACTAAACATCCCTTTGGTGAGTTTCTACTTGAACCAGCTTTACTGCCTCAGAGGTCATAATTTACAAAGGATGATTTCTGTTCTGTTCTTCTCATAGAATCTCTTTAGAGTTACCTGCAAGTAGTCTCTGTATAGGTTTGTAGCATAATTTAAAACAGCACTGATCTGGTATTTTTAGGCCTTAACACACTGAAGTTTATATTGCTGAGGTTTGCAGGTACTTTCTGAATACAGTAAATGTTTGTATTCATTGTCTGAAATGTTGTCCTTAATTCCTAAATTGGCTATGACCAGTAGAGGATATTAAAGTAACCACAGAGAATAGGCCTTTCTTCCCCCTGGAGTGAATCTTCACTCCTCCCTGTGAGTAGTGAGATGAGATCTGATGAATCAGTTAAGGGCTCCTTACTTATGTAGGAGTCTGTGGATCCTACAGTGTATAACTGGCATGTTCTGTTATTCATACAACACTTCTCTTCTCCCATAGCCTAGTGAGTCAGATACTGTGATTCAGAACATTTCTGGATTTTCTTCACCCTCTTCAAATTTCTCTCAGTTTTGTGGATTTTTTCCGCAATTATTTTTTTAGCTAAAGGGAGGTGGAGGTGCTAAGGGTTGGTATTGATTCACTGAGCTCTAGGCAGAATTGCTTACTGTGTCTAAATAGAAAAAACTGCCTTGATTCTCGATCTACCTTGATATTTAGAAGAGAAAATGAAGAATAAAGAACATTAAAACAAGCACGAATTGGATGAAAACATTATCTCCTTACCCCAGTATCCACAAATGTCTAGATACTGGCCTTGTCACTCATTGCTTGTAGTATCTTCACCAGCCAAGTTCAAAGAACTAAGTAGGACTAGATGCCTGCAGACCTAGGAATAAAGACAACTTCCATTGGTACATTCAGATACTGTACTTGTTTCCAATCTTTATTGAATCTACTTTGGGTTTTCAAAATTCTCAGCTCACTGAGTCCAGCTTCTTAATAAAAATTGAATTCTTGAAAATTAAATAAAATTAAATAATTTGTTAAAAACATTGATAGTCAATGAAGTCCTCCCATAATAGAGTTTATTCACTCAATTGTTTCCATAAATTTCTTTGATGTCAGTGCTAGGTATGAAGGGTAAGCAGATAGTACAATGAAGAACTGGTCTCATGAGGGTTATCACCTAGAAAACAAGAATGATGTGATAACCCCCACTGTCTCATAACACTTCCCTTCATGTGTTGTGCACAAACCTTTATGTTGATCAAAACCGTCTATATAAAAAGAAAAAGGTTATCTTCTGAAAAATCACTTAGGAAATCTTTGTCTTTAATGAGTGGGCAATGAAGCATTTTCTTATGGTTGGCACACCCAGTGAACAGTTCTTTAAATTGGCTTCCTTGACAACAGATTATAGGATCATACTTCTTGCCATCTTGAAGTTAGATATAACCATAAAGGTGTCCTGTTACCCCTGGCTTGAAGATCTTTTCAGGTGTGTTTGATTTGTCCATTTCTGCCCCATATGTGTTAACTGTAGGATCCAATGGCAAGCTGAACTTGTAGTTATCCTGGGTCTCAGTTAGAGGTGTCCATACATCAACATAAACTAGTATTTATTTAGATTCAATGACAATGGGGGGGATTGGTCTTCAGCATTGCATATTCTGATCTACAATGAGAGATACAGGTTTTGTAGTTTACCAATTCTTATTCTAGGACAAATTTTTACTTTATGAGACAATAAGTGTTTAATTAAACATTTAAGAAGCACATTAGATATATAAGGCTGAGTCCCTCTTGTTTCCTGCATCATGTTGAAATGTTTTTCAGTATCTTTCTAGTATTTGCACTGAGATATTTTAAGCCAGAAAATAATAGAGAACTGTTTATTCTTAGGAAAATGCTTCTGTGTTCTTTCTTAGATAATTCTGTTTATATTTTTGCCTTATAAATAATTGCTTTTCTTCCCATCTGTCTTCTAAAGAGGAACAGTTTTGATCCAGCAAGAATAGAGCAATTACTGTTAAGCAGAATTGAATTCCAAGATATTTGAGATAGAAAGGGGGCTCTGGGACATTTTTAATGTATTCAAGTTTCCAAGAAAAGAAAAACAAATGTGTCTCATTTAAAAGGTGCAGCCAGATAGATCTTCATGCCAGTAGGAAGATGAGAGCCAAGCACTGTCAATCCAACTCCCTCCTTCCTTTCTTTCTCCCCTTCCTCCCCCCCATCCCCTTCCCTCATCCCTCTCCTCTTCTCTGACCCTTTACTCCCCCTCTCTCCTCACTCTGCCTCTCACTACCTCTCCCTCCTTCCCTCCCACCTTCCTCCCCCCCTCACTCCCTTCTCCTCTGTCCCTCCATTTCCCTTCCTCTTATCTTTTCCCCTTCTTCATGCACTGCTTCCTCTTCTCCATCCCTCCATCCTTCCTAACATCTACCCCCTTTTGTCCTAGGTAGGTGCCGGTCAAGAAGCATTCCAACTACAGGGCTTTATTTCCTCATCAGTCTGCTTCAGAGATCCCTGTCCACAGAGAGTCCACTGTCCCTTGAACTTCTCCCAGTGAGTCCCATTCTTCCTTAGATACAGTAGACAATATTCAATAGCTGCTGATAGAATCCCTGTTGACCATAACTAACCCTGATGAGCAGCCACCAACTCTTCAAGAATCCCATAGACAACTCTAGGACTCTACACCATGGAATTTCCTCAAGTGGGGTAGAGTTAAAAATACACAACCCCTGAGTTGTTACATTATGCTTTAATTTTTGATACTGGCATAACTTATTATAGAAGGCATTAATTTTCACAGCAAATTCCTTATTTACAAAAATTTTGACCTTTATGCATCAGCACAGGCCCTTAATCATGATTCTTATAAGTAAAGCTGCCTCTCATTGATGGGACCACACAACAAAATTTCATCTTACCATCTCAATTTGCCATCATCCTCTCTGCATAGACATGGGCACAGGTGACCAGCTAACATGTTCTGCATATACCTGATATCAGACAGGTATATTAAGCATAAAAAAAGAGTAATTGCTATCACTCTCAGAATTTTCTTGTACTGGGGGAACTGGCTCCTTAAGAAACCAGTGCTCACTGTCTGTAGTTGATGGAGTGTAAGAGAATGATATCTAGTACAATTTGTCTTTGGTTGTAACTGAATTATGTTTAATGACAATCTGTAGGAGCAGTGTGAGTAAGACTTTCTACAAGGACTAATTCAGAGTTGGCTTATAGGTAAAATGTTTCTATATAGCCTTTCTTTCAGAAGATAAATATTTTGATCACATTAAAGTTAATAATTTTCTTCATCCTCATGATAAAATGAGGTATCATAGAACAATTATCTCTCAACCTGGTGAAAAGCAGAGCTCACCTTGTAAAAATTAGTGTAGGGAGGCTTGGAACAACAGGGACTATTTGGTTTCACGAGGGGTCTTGTGTTGATGCTGATATAAATGTTGATAGCTTGGATGATTGAAAGCAACCCTGCTTGCTGTGTGCTCCTCTCAATATGTTCTTCACCTTCCTAGCATGTGACTTAAATGGCAGTACAAGAACCAGCATAAGGCAGAGACAGAGAGGACTGGGAAGCTTGCCTAACACTAAGGTATCTTGTGGAGAATGTAGCTTATAAGAATTATCTGCTAAGTCCCCATGGGCAAATACACAGTAGACTCACTTTCTGAGCCCCCTTTCTCCACTTGTGGAGTTAACATGACTAGCATGCTCCTGTTCTCTATCCCATAACATCATTGCCCAAACATTTATACTCATGTACCATGGGAGAAGGTCAACAATTAGACTTCCCCAGGTATCCACTGCAGCCATCTCTCTATTCCACCATTAATCATGTCTTCAGTACACAAACATGGAAGTTTCCACTCCGGTGGGAATGGGAGAAGACACCCTCAGAAGCATATATCAAATAAATTGAGCCATCATTTCCACTTAGTTATATGCCCGTCTTTTCATTCACTAGGCTAGCTTATGTTAAGATCTTGCCATAAGAGGGGCATGGACACACCCTAGTAAACACAGAAGCCCAAGTTCCACACTGATCACACTGAGCAACATTACAACTGCTGGTCACCATCGAGGCAGGCACCCCTTCTACTTAGATGAGAAAGCATGTTTTGAGTGAAATTGAAGCACAGATGGCTTTGTTTCTTTCCTTTGAAGCTCCCATCCTTTCCCCGACTGTAGTTAGGCCAGAGTTAAATATCTGTAGAGATGGGAATGGTATGTTTTATTTTATTTCATTATGGTGTATGGATATACTTGTTAAATATTTGTTAGTGAATTGCTTGGGGTGTGTGTGATGAAATTGTCAGGATAAAAGCCCACTGTGAACTGCGACATCATAATCTCTATTATCTTTGTCCTCTGTGATCACATAAGTGGGCAGATTCGCATAATTCTATATAACAGTCATTTTATATAATTATCTGAAGATACATCTTACTGCTAATTCTTTCTGGCAGATGCATCCGAATGCTGTGTCATTTCAGACCAGTGCTCAGGAGTAATGCTAAGGAGTTTTCCTGACTTAGACTGAATGAAGATTGATGTCTGCTTCAGAGAAAAGCCAATCCACCTCTATTTCCTGTTCACTGCTGTGTCTAGCAGTATATGGCATGTAATTGTTTAAGTTTGAGAGTATTCATGCCTGGTTATGTTTGGAACTGACTTCAAGTTAGATATGAATCATCATAAAACAAATACAATATATGTACAATTAGTGTGGCATATAAATGATATAATAAACTGTCTCTGTTTTTGTAAGCATGCAAATTAATGATTTTTAAAGCCATTTGTATTTTTTTAAATAGAGAAGTCATGGTGCTTGGTAGTTAAGAGCATTGGCTCTGAGTTCAATTCCCAACACCCGCACAGTGGCTCACAACTATCTGTAACTCCAGTCTCGGAGATCTGATGGCTTCAGGCTTCCTCGGGCATTGCATTCAATGTGGCACATAGACACACACACCCATACACTTAAAATAAAAATAAAAACATCTTTAAAAACACCCAGAAGTCAGAGAATGGCGTACATCTCCACATTCAGCTTCTTTTGTTTGCTTTCTTCAGTAGTATGAGTTAATGCTGGGCATTTTCATATGGCACAAATGTCGATTTGGTTTATGGATGTGTGCTTGTGGGAAACGCATGCATTTGAGTATTAACTGTGTTGAGGTTAGAGGTCAACATCACTTGACTTACTAAATTGCTCTCCACCCTATTTTTGATGTAGAGTACAATTTGTTTTTCTGTTGCTGTGATAACACACTTTCATTAAAACCAACTTAGGGGAAGGAAGGGTTTGCTTCAGCCTACACTCCCAGGTCCCAGTCCGATGTTGGGGGATGCACGGCATGAACTTGAAGGAGAAGCGGTGGAAGAAGTGGCTTGCTCCCTGCTCATTCTGAGATACCTTTCTTATCACACAGAGTCACCTGCCGTGAAATGGTGCCCACCATAATGGGCATCCTCACATTGGCTATCAGTCTAGACAGTCTCTCCCAGACATGGCCGTTGGCCAGTCTGACTGAGGCAACTCTTCATTTACAGTGCCTTTCACCAGATAACTGTGAAATGCTGCTATCAAGACTAGCGCATTTTAAGGATTCTCAATTCTCCAGAAATTGCCACCCCAGAACACCTGTTCAGAAGTTGCCTTTGAATGTGGACTCCACTGTGGCTTATCTCCACATGCATAGGCTCTCATCTCCTTGTGGGCACATGTATGTGACAATCACCTAAGGCCACATCTATAAATCTGTTTTTTAGAATTATATCCATAGTTAGTAATATAAGTAAACTCTATGATTAGAGCATATAGTCATCATTTAATCATATTAGATCTTGGGA